AAAAGCTAAGTGAGCGCATCGGTCAGGTGACTCTTAAACTTGTCACACTGTCATTTTCCCTGCTAATGTGGTCAAAATGAAAGGAACAATATAGTGCTGGCTTACATGTCTTGTAGACCTCATTGACGTTGTTGAAGTCATTTATATCTGCGAGTAACACAGTAGTCTTCACCACTGAAATGAAAGGGTTTATGTGCTCTGAAAGCTCGTGTTTAAATTTCAGAACATGTGAAACATACGAGGAGAAGCTCAGTTTCTCACCGTTGCTGTAGTCGCAGCCGGCAGCTATAAGGATCTCCCCAATATTGATGAGTGCCTGAAGGACACGATGGGAAAGATTTGTTCGTATTTTAGGAATCTGTTGTGGATGCAACTTCTGCTGTAGCTGATCTAAACACTGGCAGAAGTGAGTTTCACCTGTTTGGCCTGAGCCTGCACTCCTCCATCTACCAGCTTCCCGGAGGCGACGTCCATCCCCAGCTGACCGGAGATGTACATGGTTCTGTCCACGATCACCGCCTGGCTGAGGACGACACACACACACACGTTTCTTTCTCAGGATGATGTTTCAGCAGGAGAAAGTGAAACAAAAGGCCAACAGTTCCAAGAAAATATTTCCTCACACCATTGCACCACCAGGCTGAATCACCGATACAAGGCACTTCCACTTTCCACACTTTCATGTTGTTTTTGCCGAATTTTTCCCCCTTTCTTTATTCAAATCAGGCAACAAAGTATATATCTCATTTACATTGACATAGTTTTTTTTTCTTTTTTCCCCTTTTCCCTTCCCCTCCCCTCTTTTTCCGAATTTTGATCGAATGTTAAAGCATAAATCAAGACCAGGATACATTTTTCCAATCTTCTGTCCGGTTTGGTGAGCCTGTGTAAACTAGAGCCTCAGTTTCCTGTTGCTGGTTGACAGGAGTGACATCCACCAAATAAATGATAAACCACGTGAACTTTGATCGAGTTATGATGGATTTAGAACAAGTCCCAGCACTTTCTTCGGGACACCTTACCTGTATATTCCCTGCCTCACAGGAGCTTTTGGTGTGTAGATGATTTGGCGACGAATTGAAGCCATTATAAGCCAGCTGCTTGTCGACCTTACTCGGTTTCCTGCTATGCTGGGGCCCCTTTGCCCCACTGAGAAACTTTTAACTTTGGTTCTCTCTGTGAGTTCACTGAACTGTAAGACCAGGCCCTGATCAAACATCGGACTGTCCTTGTGCTCCCACGTCTCACCTGTATGGGCCGATGGCAGCCGGGGCCGACGCAGTGTTAACGATCCTTCTGTTGAGCGCAGACATGCTTCCCAGATTTCTTCAACTTGCTGCCAACCTTTCCGAAGAGCTGTGATTAATGCAACTGTGCAAGAAAAGCTGCAGAAAAAGAAGGAACACTGTTTCCGCAAAGTCTACCGTACCGCACTGAATAGAGGAGCAGCAGGCGCGCTTATAGCTATAAAAAGGCGTTAAATATAAAATGAAATGCGCCCTTGGCAGAAGAGTTACGGTGAAGGGCGTCAAAGCTGCCTTTATGAAGGCAAAGATCAGCGGTACTGCCCGAAGTTTTGATATCGATCCGAAACCAAGTAAATACAGGGTCGATAACGAGAGCCAGTGGGTCATGATTTATGCAATTAATCAGATTTAATTCACCACTAAATCACAGCGATTTTTATTTTTCACATTAGTTAACACAAAACATACTATTCAGCTTTTCATGGGAATTTTTTTCATATTTTTTGGCATCCAGGAATGTAAATGTACCTGTCTCTCTGTGCTAGAGGCTAAGAATAAAGCAGATGTGACCGTCAACACAAAAACTTTCATGCACTTTTCATAGTGTGTGTTTGTTGTATTTTTTTTTCAATTCCAAAAAAAGTAACACAAGTCTACATAATGAAATCAGAGTATCTAATCATGTCATGTTGGTATTAATCCATCCACATCTAAAGATTAGACCAAAGCCAGCTCTGGTTAACTATAAGTGACTTTTATTACTTTTTCAACATTTTTGAAACTTTATTAAAGTATTACAAACAGAACATAATAAATTAAATGCTTACATTCCACTCTACACCCTTCAATCTTTACATAAACCGAATAAGTGAAGTAAATGAAGACAAAAATCATAATGATATAGCAAAAGGTGGCTTTAGGTAACTGTACATATTACAGCCAGTTCTAAAGAAACAAAACAAAATCATAAAAACCCCCAAAACAAACTATTGGACTTTTCAGTGTTCAATAGTTTTTAATAAAAGCAAAATTAAAGGAAGCCCACATTTTCTTCTTAAACATTACTCTTTCCTTATACAACAGCATTCTACTACAGAGCAAAATTAAGTATAAACATGCATAGTCCAACCACATTTACATGACCAAGGGCCAAAATATTAACAGCCAAATCAGCCACAATATTTAAACCAGTGTCACGAAAAGAAAAGAAAGCAGAGTGGTTAATAAATAAAGTGAATGCTTGTGTGAACTGCAGGCTTAATTCATGAAGGGTTTCCATCTGCTTCACCTACAAAACACATTCATATGTAACAGCAACCAGCAGATTCACTGCACGTTTTTAACATTAAGACAGGATGAATTCATTCATTCACAGGGTCATTATTAGCGCTTAAAAAGTAACACATACTTTAGCAGAAGAGCTGAATTAGAGCCAGAAGCCAGATACATAGACAAAAACAAAAAATGTAGTAACCATTCAACAAGCTTAATAATTTTTGGGAGTAAAAACCTACAAATTCTTTCCTTCTTTTCATTTTTTGATTAAATTCCTTTGAATTTGGTTATTAAAGTGGTCCAACAAGCATATGCAGTGTGTGGGAAATTTTACAGCTGACTTCATTTATGATAAGAAAGGAAAACATTCCTCACTTATTAAAAATACAGGGGAAAAAGCCTTCATGTTCAGATAAAAGAAGCCAAAGCTTGTGTCCCAAAACCCACAAAGCACATTTTTTGTCTTTTTCTCCCCTTCAAATATCAGGAAACAGAAAGCACTCTCACTGATAGCTGAAAAAAGTTGCAGGAAAAAAAGAAAAGAAAACTTGATCCAATGGAGGAAAAATTATCATCTAAAAATAAAAAGAACAAGTAGAAATCACGTGTGTGGCTGATGTAGCGGCTCTGGTTTTAAGTACAACTGTTACGTCTTTCGAGTCTTTTTTCTCAACCTGATGTGTTTTTCCTGAAGTGGAAAACAGCAATTAAACCATTTATGCAATAATTCAGGGTCTGGCCTCGTCACTCAGCTCTCTTAATGCTGCCTCAAGTCAATCAGTCAAAGTGGAACAATCAAAAGAAATCAAAGTTATCTAAACTTAAACATTTAAAGAATGCTGTGCAGTGTTTAGGAATGACTTTCACCTTTTCCCCCTATTTGGAAATTACGTTTGTTTAACGTTTCAGGATGAAGAGCAGTGAGGGAGTGTCGTGTGTGTTTACGAGGCACTAAAAGATGCTTCAGATCTGCCACTATAGACTGTGCACTGGGTGTATAAGGAAACCCAGAACGTCATACCTGAAAAACACCTAATTTAAATAAAAGATAATGCAGACTAAAGAGAAGCTGGTCCACAAAATAGCTGAAAACATGCGCAATCTGTTCTTTGACATTCACTGGATTTTTCTAAGCTTTCAATAGTCTCTCGTCCAACTCTTCTCCAGCTGAGGAAACAAACGTGACCATCCAAAGACTCGGTCGTTTTACTACATTGCTTCTGTTGAAAAATCAGGTTTCAAATATTTTAAGGCAACTTCATCATCAACATCACCTCGATTGTCTTTGGTCATGGATGAACCTCCACAGCTTTTGTCGCAGGTATTTCCAAACTAGGCTCTATGTTTTATTTACAGTGAAGGTAAAAAGTCTCGGGGAGGTGGGGGTAATGCCATTGACCTCGCTCGCTGCTCCTGCTGAAGAAAAGGCTTTTTGCTGATTAAAGAGGAAATTCTTTGTGTGACTCTCAGATGTGTTACAGCCACAGCTTGGTTCTCCTTTTTCTTTTTTGGAAGGGTGTGGATTCCCAGAACCAAACAGACATCATCCAGTAAAGGAAGCATCTTACTTCATTTAGAGGTCAGCTAACAGGCGGCCAGAACAGCAGAGGGCATCCAATGAGATTGTTTTGGTTCCCCCGAAATCACTGGACAGAATTTGTTGTTTACCGTGGCTTAGGGAAATCCAGATTAGAGGAGGTCAGGGTCAGAAGGGGCATTTAGAAGTTCTGTTGTCGTCTCTTCTTGGCATCCATTGCATCCAGGATGGGCTGCCTTTTGGCAGTGTAGCGCTGCCTGAGCTCCTCAATCTCCCGCTCCATCATGGGATCCAAGGCAGTCAGGCGTAACTGCAGCTCCTCAAAGTCCAGGTTCTTCAACTGAGAGGCAACACAGACAAACAACAGACGGAAAAAATGAGTCACAACACTCAGAGCTGCTTCTGTTTTGCTGCTGTAAACATTTCCACAATGAATAACACTACAACAGAGTCACGGATGACACTCACAAAGTCAAAGTCTCCGTCCTGAGGCACCTTCCAGTTGTCAGGGAAGACGTTTTTGGACTGGATATGGTAGCCTTGCTGCTCCTGTGCCTGGTTGTGGTTGTAGCTCTCCTGCTGCTGGGCCGCCTTGTTGTCCTGCTTGTCGAAGTAATCCATGAAGGAAGGACGAATCGGCTGCTGGGGGGTGGCATGTCCTGTGGAGGAGGAAATGGGTTAAACTCGAAGGTAACAAAATAAACTTTCTGGACAGAATATTTTGGAGACCGTCTCATTCAGGCAGACATCATATCCGCTCACTTCTCATCGATCCCTGGTCTTCCTCCTCGTCTTCATCGTCACTGTTGATGACCATAGTGCCAAGGTCTGACTCAAGCATAGTGCTGCCGTGCTCAATCATTGTCTGCGCCCCGTCGCTCATAGTGCTGGTGGCGCGCATGGTTCCGGCGCCCTCTGAGCCCGACTTAACCATAGTGTGAGAATCCACCTCAGTCTCTTCCTCCTGGATGGAATAAAAAACAGAGTTAAGACATGCAGCATTACATCTGAGGTTTCTTCACCCCAGACCTTTCTGTGAATAAATCAGCACACGCACCGAGTTGTCATCCTCCTCTTCCAGCTCTCTCTGCTGCTCCTGCTGCCTCTTGGCTTTCATCTCCATGGCTTCAGTTATCAGGTCTCTCAGGATCGTAACTGGCTTGGCCTGGCTGATGAATGGATGCTGGAGATTCACAAGACCAAAAAGATAAAAGTTATATGAACTATATTTTACATGCAAATGTATTTCCATACGGGTATATCCACCCAGCATCATGTGTTACACCCTCTGATGTTTCTATTTGCCTGAGGCGGCATTAAATTTTCCATATTTACAAATCTCCGGGGTATCTGGGGAAGACTATTTGCTCTCTATTTTATATGTTTGCTTTCATCTTGTATCAGTTATTTGAACAGGGAAGGACACTAAGAGCAACTTAGTGTCCTTCCCTGTTCAAATACTGTAACATAATAATAGTAGTAATCCATGTATGTGGTGGCGAGGTCATCTTCTTACCTGTAGCAGCTGTGTGGCCGTCGCTCTCTGCTCCGGGTTCTTCACTAAACACTTCTTGACAAAGTCTGTAAACTCGTCTGACCAAAGCTCCGGCTTCCTGAATGTTGGAGGAGGGTTGGTCGGGATCATAAAGATTGCCTGCAGAAACACGATAACAGGATTATGGTGGATTAAAAAAAGAGGATAAAAGTTTTTCACAACACATTTAAAACAAGAAGAAATATTTCCACTCACTCTCATTGGATGAATGTCTGCATAAGGAGGTTTACCCTCTGCCATCTCTATGGATGTGATGCCCAGGGACCAGATGTCAGCTACACAGTTGTAGCCGATCTCCTGAATTACCTCGGGTGCCATCCAGAATGGAGTACCGATCACAGTGTTTCTCTTTGCCATGGTGTCCTACAGAGTGGGAATATATATTACCCCAGACTTTTAGAGCATGACAGGACCAAGCAAAAACTCCTCAGAAGCAAATTACAAACAGCATCATGCTGGCAGACATTACTTCATCTTATCACTACTGACATATGCTGCAATTTTACCGTCAGCTGTCCAGCAACTCCAAAGTCTGCCAGTTTGGCGTGTCCCTCTGTGTTAAGAAGGATGTTTCCTGCTTTGATGTCCCGATGGATCTTCCTCATGAAGTGAAGATACTCGAGTCCCTTCAGCGTCGACTTAAGGATGGTTGCGATCTCATCTTCTGTCAGCTGAGAGATTGAAGAGTAAAAACCAAACATGAACAAACAGACCATTAACTGCTGCACTTGTCTGTAGTTTTTTTTTAATCATTAGTTCGCTGAGTTCAGTTAAAGACAAGGTCAACCTGGAGATCTTTTCACTTTTAAGTCGCAATAAATACTGCACTTTGAATTGAAACTTTATCAAAAAATATTGTCTTCCTGACACAAAAACTAGTGAATTAAAGCCACCATTGCAGTCGTTACTGACAACAGGTCAAAGGCACTTTTAAATAAAGTTTTAGCGAAGTTGCACACGTCGCTGCGGCTCAGCATAGACACCCACCGTCTTGTTGCGCAGTCTGATGATGTCAGAGACAGAGCCAGCGCCACAGTACTCCATCACAATCCACAGGTCTGTGTTCTTGAAGTAGCTGCCATAGTATTTCACCACATAGGGGCTGGGGAGGAAACGCAACATGGAGTGGTTATCAAAGGAGAAGATACAGAGCAGAAGTGAGAAAAAAAATCTCATGGATCCAGACACGAGAGAGCTACATGGGCTATGATGATGATGTCATACTTCCTCCTTTATTATCTCTGTAAAATGTCTTTTGAGGCTTTTCCTGGCTCAGAATGGACCTTTGAGAGAAGGCTGACTAAGTGCAACTGGTCTGCGTACAGTTAACACTAACAGGCTCTTATCTAATTAAACATAACAACTGTGCAATCCCCTGTTATTTAGAGCAGATGATAAGCAAAAATGTATTCTGAGTCTGCAAATAAACAATGATTTTCTCTCAAACCACTTTACTGGATGCCACATTTTTCATATTGAGGAAAAACCTTGCTTTCAAGGGCAAAAATGGGCGTATGGTATGAGACATACTGCTGTCCCACCTGTCACACTGCTGCATGATGGAGATCTCTTTGATGATTTCCTGCAGATCTGACTCCACAGGCACCTGCTTGATTGCCACCACCTGGCCGGACTCCTTATGAATGGCTTTAAACACGCTGCCATAGGAACTAAAAACACACACAAAGCTTAAAGTCACATGTATGGCTGCAGTGCTTTATTACAACTGACAGCACTTAAAAAACGATTTATTACACAATGGTCAGCTGTAAAAATGGAAGTTAAGACTTCTTACCCTTCACCGAGTTTCTCGAGAACATCAAACACTTCCTCTGGCTGTTTCGTCAAACTATCTTCACTCAGCTTTTTCAGCTTACTGTAAAAAGGGAATAAGACAGCAATATAAAAGTGAAAGCAATGATAAGTGGAAAAGGCAAATCTAAACATTACAAAACAGGAGACACGGCATCGTTTCAGCATCTGTAAATAAATGAACGGCTGTGGGTGATTTTTAGTCTGGACATAAATGTCAAACACACTGAGACTGCAACCTGTTATTATTTCTGTTTGCTGTCATTTAAAGATATTTTTAGGCTTGTGTATCGGTGCTTTCAAACACCAGAATATGAAGTAATACTTCTTCACAGATAAAAAAAAAAAAATCAGCACCGCAGCCAAACAACAGGAATAAGTCATTATTAGTTAAGTTCAAAGTGATCGACAAAAGAAGTTATTGTGAAAGTGAAAACACAACCCAGCATGCACTGTTCACTATTTTCTGACTTGATCAAAAATATTATCACGTGCAATACGAGACTAAAGGAGGTTGTTTCCCCCTGAGCAACGCTAAGTGACGCAAACTTCAATAAGGTTCCTCAGTCTGGCTCTAGTGAATAAAGCAAACACAATGAATCAATGATTCAGTCATTTAAAAATGATCCTACATGAGCTCTGACTAAGACAACAAACAGATTGTGTGTGTTTTTCCTTTAAAAGGGTATTTCTATACTACCTCTTAGAAAAGTTTGCACTATATGAAGCTGGAAAGGCCCTCACATCCTGCTGTTCCTGTTAATTTCCACTAAGCAGAACAGAAACGTTCAAGTATGGTGTCCTCAAAGTCTTTCAGAGAAGCCTTTTACTGAAGGTGAGAAGAGCTGAAAACATTGCCGTTTTTTTCTTGAATCCAAAATAAAAAAACGTATTCAGTCTGAATTTCACATAGTGTTTTATAACTATTTCAATACCTATTATTATATTTATTATAATAATTATTAATATTATCATCATCATCACTTATTTTGCTCAAATATTTATTTTTGTAGACTCATTCTTTAATTTCATTGTACATTTATGAATGTTATAGTAAACTTTTAAGCACTATTTACTTTATATTTGTATTGTCTTTATATTACGCACACTTAATTTTATTTTTGTCAATGATTTCCAAAGCAGTTCTAATTTCTTTTGATTTTGTTATCACTCATTTAAATTTTTTTTACTATTCTATTATAATCATGTTATTTAAGATAAAATGTTTTTATTGCTAGTTAGCATCTCTGATTATGTTAACTACACACACATAGCTTAAATAGGAAATCTTTCCTACCAAACTCTGTCAACCTAAATGTTTAATAATATTACTTTATTATTATTATTATTATTGTTATTATTCATCCTTTATAGTGTTGTAACAAAAGGGTTGCTCATGGAATGGAATAAATAAATATTTCTCATCTGCACATCTGAACATGTGTGATCTCATAATTTAAAAATAGTACAGCAATCATACAAAGACTTCAGATCTGTCACCTTGTGGTTAAAAAGCTATTCAGTAAAATTAACTTGCATTGTCTTTTTTTGAGCCTGTGAACTCATGAACCACCACAGAACAGAAACCAACTAAGTAATCAGTAACGTGTAATACTGGTTTGTCTTCAGGAATCGTGCCAAAAAAATACCGTGTTCGACATTTAAACAGTTCTAAATGATGGCCTGTGATCTATCAAGCATATATCTCTTATAAAGGATTTCAAGTCACTCTGAGCAAGCAGTAGAAGCTGCAATCAGTATTTGGCAAAGTGGCTTTTATATATCTTTTATTTATTTGGATAAAAAGTTTTACTGACATTCAAAATGTATTTTTTTTCAATAGAGATCACGCAAAGAGGCAAGCAAAAACATGGAGGACCTTTAACTTTTACAAGGACATTTTATGTGTCCAAGAAAGTCAATAACAATAACGCAGACTCATAAAGAGAGATCACGTCTTTACTATATATATGTCTAACCTCTTCATAAAGCCTAATAACTAAAGCCTGTTTACAAATACAGGCAACAATATTAGACATAAAAAGACACAGTAATTCAATTTTTGCAGGACACTCGGGAAGCTAGAGGGTGATTCAGTGCGATCATTCATGCGATTGAATGATATTTCAAGTGCAAATCTAACCACTGAACAAAACACTCTTACAGAGACTTGGGAACATAAAACGACCACATCATTAGCCAAATCTATTAGACACTCAATTGAGGGCTCAGGAAAGAGCGCCTCTGTGTGAGGAACGATCTGTACATTCGTGAACAGAACTGAAAGTTTGAGAGAAGACTGGCAACGATAAGTTAGCTTAGCATCAGCTAGCTCGGCGACATCCACCGAGCGTTAGCTGTTCGGCTAGCTCGTTAATAATAGCATTTTTAGCGTAGTCAAATTAACACAAACCTTTTGGGCGCAGACGTCTCCATGATGTACGACTTCAAAACTAAAAAGAAAACACACTAAGAGGGACTCGTGGCACTTTTGGGACCAGCAGTCAGGACGAGAACATTGTCGACTGAATCGTTGTTGTCAAAAACTAAAGCAGCGCCAGCTGAGGGATCGTCAGATGACGGTGTTACGGCCTCAACGCAGCGCCCCCTGCTGGAGCGGAGTACAAACAAAACGGCTTAAAATACTCTCCTTAGAAACATTGAATAATTTGTATCAATTAAACAACTGAAACTTGTGAATAAAATGTTACTGATAATAGAGCTGTCCACAAAAATACAATTGCTTTCTCTGGTCTCTTTCAAAGACATCGTCCGACCAATCACAAGCGACTTTGCTGTGAGGTGCACGACTGTTCTACGCATGTGCAGGCAGGAGCCTTGTGGAGTATGAAAAGAGAGGTAAACAGCTAACAGCTAACGTGTTTAAACGGTGAGAAACCTTGTTATTATCTTTCCATCCTGTGTACTCCGTATCTGTTAGGTTTATGCAGCGTTTTTAGATACTTTAAAGATATTTGTTGTTTGCTCTAAATACCGGTTGGGTTGTTTTAGTCTGTTTCGGGCAGTACCATGCTGTTTCTGTTAGCATGTTGTTAACAGTTATCTCTCTGTCTCGTATTTTTTTGTTAAGAATCAGAAATGGATACACAGAAAGATCTACAGCCGCCCAAGCAGCAGCCTATGATCTACATATGTGGAGGTATGTTACAACGTTTACTTTAGTAATACCACCGCTGGTAATGCAAACAGTACGATTTTACCTGCTCTAATGCAAACCTTTCATCACTGCCATCACGGCTGCTTCTCCAATGGATGTTTTTCTTACATTACACCGCATAGACCTTACATATTGTTCATAATGTGTTCCTTCATAGTAACAATTCTCTCATAATAAGTTGACAAATAATAAACTACAGCTCAATTTAGAGTGTATAACTAGCCTCTCCGACATTAATAAATTAAGGATTAATCCATAGTTAATGCTTCAGAGATCGCTAAGAGTGTATTTTTCCAGGTATTACAACACTAGTTTTTAGAGAAAACCGTCTAGCACACTATATCATGTCCTGTTTTACCTAATACATGAAAATTCGCATAACTACCGTCTGTAATTATAAATATGAGTTCAGTATTGGTACTAATTAACACTTGGAGCCCAAAACTTGCCTATTGTAAACCGGTCTGTGCATTCAAAGCTGTGATACCTGGCATGTGTGGAATTTCCGTTCACTGAAATTACATCTCAGGTGCCTTTATAGCCTCATGACCCCTACTCCTTTTCTAATCTCTGTTTTAATCATAGTTAGCTTGGGATAAGTTGATTGTATTGTTCTGTATGTATGTATGATGATTTTCTTTTTCTTTTTTTTTACCTTGTGGGTATTTGTGCTTCCAGCTGCAAAACACAAGTACTAACTGAGAGTTACATGATGTTCTTGTGTTTGAATAGTGTCTTTACTACTTAATCCACTGTGGTGGAGACATCTGGAGGACATAACATACACATTAGGCTCACTACATGTTTACAGTGGGAAATATTAAACCTCCTTTACAGTCTGATACAATGTTACTATTTTGGAACCAATAATAATTATTTCACCATGATTACGTAATGTTGGTCATCTTGCATCTGGAAAAAGAACCACCCTGATTTTAGTTCTAATAAGTTTTGTGGCAAGGTGTAAAAACTCAGTAACAATCTGAATGAACTGAAATGAATACATCTTACACATTATGGACTAAATGTTGGGCCACACCTCTTTGAATTCAGAGACGTGCGCTAAGTGAATAAAATTTACCAACACTCTGCTGACTCAGTAGCTGCATAGGTCCAAACTTTCTCTGTCATTAACATCAGCAGAAAAACTATGTGAGGGGGTGTTGCCCGCTGCTCTGCTCTGCTCAAACTGCACTTGAACACATAACACCATGTTTTCTCTCGTCACTTGCAGAATGTCACACCGAGAACGAAATCAAAGCCCGCGATCCGATCAGATGCAGAGAGTGTGGCTACAGGATCATGTACAAGAAGAGAACAAAGAGATGTATCCTTTTGACTTTGTGTGCATGAAGACAACTTGTGAAAACATTAAAAATGACCAGTTGACTTGTTTATTTCAGATGTGAGTCTTTTTGCTAAAGAGTGTTCAGATATTTTGATTTTGAGTTTGATTGATATTTTATGAATTGGTTGCTACGTTTGCTGTGGATTTCCTTGACTCTCTGATTTCAGTGGTTGTATTCGATGCCCGATGAAGAAGAGGAGAGGAGCAGTTTTGACTCTGTTTACTGTTTGTAGTGTGGGATCATGTAAATAAATAGACCTGGCTTCAGATTTGTGAACTACTCATTTTATTCTCGGTCTAAACAATACATTTGCTTGTCAAAAATGTATGAAAGTTTGTTTTGGTTTATTAAATAATAACTATTTTAACTGGTTGTGACTGTTTTTTCCCAGTTTTTCTAACTGATGAGCTGATTTAATTAGTAGCATCTCCATGACGACAGGAAAATTTGTGTTTCAGCTCTTGTAGACTTTTCTATATTCATGTAGTCACGTGTAATTGGTTTGTTGCTATGAGATGTTTGCAGCTTTTCGACCCCTGAAATAGACTCTGCCTTTCAGAATAACAAAATGCAGCAGGGGAAGTAACCTGATTTTGTGTAATGCAAACTGTTTTTTTGGCCTTTTTCATAGTAATAAAGATTAAATGAGACTGCGATGTTTTCTTCCCCTCACCCCCAAAGGTTTTTTTTAATGACTTTGACTGTGGGATGGTTGTTGGTACCGGACAGGCTGATCTACCAGGATTTTCCCACAGCCATCTCCCAAAAAGAGAAAATGTCCAATGAGCGGCAGTTCTCTAGGTGAAATTGCATCATTGACGCCAGAGAGGATTGGACAGAGTTTTGAGACGATTAAAAAAACGAAAGAAAAAGGCAACAGTAACTCAAATGACAACTGCTTACAGCGAGGTATTCGGAAGAGCGTATCTGAATGCACAACGTAAAACCCTGAAGCAGACCGGCTACAGCTACAGAAGACCGCATTGGGTCCCTCAGTTTCCTGTCCACAAAGAACAGGAAACATACTGGCTCACCAATATTGCACAATAGAAAAAGAATTAAAGAGTTAAGGTAACTCTGATTGCAAAAGGGGGACCAACCCAGTACAAGACAAGTGTACTTAAGTGTCCATTGAATGTATTTTTGATCTAAAACAACACAATGATAGCTTTAACTTCTTTAAATTACACTGTTTCCCCAAGTTTAGCTTTTAAGTTGATTTAAATCTAAATCTATTTTTTTTTTGTTCATTTAGTCCCTTAATATCTGCATGGCAACTTTTTAGTTTGGCTTACTACAAAGATTTCAAACTGTTGCACTCTCTCTACTCAAAGGTGCAAAAATCCTCATACCAGCAGGTCTGTATCTCACTGGTTTAATTTGTACAAATGCTGAAAATCTGTGACAGATTCTTCTGACTTACTGGCTGCTGGGCAGCTGAAGGAGACTCCAGCAGTGTCTTTGTTTTTTGTACACATTGCACAAATAAGACACAACAAATAATAGATAATAACAAAAAACTAAAATGATGTGTTTCATTAAGATGAGATACCAAATGAAATAGCAAACAAAGCCTTCACTGGGATCATTACTTGCACTTGGGTTTAGCAGCTATTTCATTTCAAACTTCCATCTTTAAAAGATTCTAATAAAACATTTGTGTGAACCTGTGATTTGATGTAATTACATGCCAAAATGTTGACCAATAGAAAATAAGCCTGATTTAATTTCCCGGTGCTGGACAGAGAGCTGCTTCCAGCTAAGATGCTGCTGAGAGAGTTATGAACAACTTGTTCTCATCAACAAAGTAATTACTTTGCTGAACTACCCTTTAGGTGACAAACAGGACTGGATTCAATGATTGTTTTCATTACTGGACTGGGTTTTCCATCAACAAAATGTAATTTTACATGATTAATATTCTGTTTGTTTGCTGTTGATCAGATTTGCAGCTCACTCCAATTATCCTAAGAGTAATTAAACATTTATATCTTTCCACTGTGTCAAAATGTTGCCTGTCAGTTACTTCTTCTCCAGTAATACAGCGTAAATCATGTATAATCGAAATTATAATGGGTTTTTTTTTCTTACAATTTGATGAATTAAAGCATCAAAGTGTCTCGCATGTGTGTGTCTGGTCCAGGTTTCCTCTGCTCTGAAGTCTAAACTGAGGCTCTCCCTTCAGAGCTGTCCTACTGCAGCACTGCATCGCTGTGGCACTCCCCCCTCCCCCTCGCTGACATCACATCTGACGCCTCATGTCGGGGGTGTGTCCAGCAGAAATCCCCATCCAGGCTCAGATGTAGCTGCGGCTCTGAGAGAGGTAGAGGCAGAGTTTGAGCACACTGCAGAGGGATTGCAGCTATGGGGAACGCGCAGGAGAAACCTCCGGGCGGCGGAGGAGGGGCAGCGAGCGCGGATCAGGCCACAGCAGGGAGTGGGACACGAAGCGGGGGTGGGAGCAGCGGGGGAAAGCCTCACATGGCTCCAGAGAAGGGGGCGGTCAATGGCACTCAGAGAGAAAACAGCCCTGCTGGTGGGCAAGAGAAGAAGGAGGACAGCCCTGCAGTGGACACAAGTTACCTGGATGCTCCCGCCGGGGCCCTGCCTCCTCACCTGGCCCGGCTCAAGAATGAAGGGAACCATCTCTTCAAACACGGACAGTTTGGAGACGCCTTGGAGAAGTACACCCAGGCCATTGAAGGATGTGCTGAAGCAGGTGGGGGGTGACATGAGCGGTTTCTTTTCTCTTACACAGCATGTGATCCTGGGATAAACAAATCTGATTATAGCCACGATACTATAGCATAGTTAGAGGAGCTTTATCTAACTGCTAATTTCTTGATTCATTGATTAAACCATGTATAGTTTTAGAAAATAACAGTAATTTTGCAACCAGAAAGTTATTTCTTGTTTATTTTCATCCTTGGATTCCTTGGAGTAGCTTTTCCACCTCTGTGACTCAGTGTAGAGTCGCCAAAAACAGCAGATGGGTGTCACAGAGCCTGAGAGACACCCTCTCGTAGCATCTGTGACTTAGCCCGGGTAAGGATATCACAAACAAGTTGACTCAGTGTCACCTGGTTCCACAATCCAACGTATCCCGTGTCAGTTTTGAATGCATTATACCACTGTGTCTCCAGTCAGCCTGCAGGATGACTTCAGGTCACTTCACTTTTTAGCATGAAGCAGAGACACAAGGCGTCTCTGCACCGGTGATTTGTGATTGCAGTGGAGTGTTGGCACAAGACAAGTTGCTGTCGATGGAAGTCGTGTGCTGATGCATGGGGCTTTTACGTGAGGCTCAATGCCACGCTGCACAGAGAGCACTCAGCTGACTTTTACTCTTGTAGCTGGCAAGTGTGAAGGCTTTTTCTGCACTTGCACTGTAGCCAGATTCCAAACGTTTAGACTTGATTAATTATAGACTTCAATCAGAAAGCTGGTGAGAACAGTGTATGATAATGATGATGCGCTGTGGGTTGTGGAAGCTGTACATAAGACTGATGCTCTCCAAGCGGTTATGAAACTGCACTAGAGTGAAAAGGACAGTGGAGAAAATGACTCTACCGAGGGATCTCTTAACACAGCCTTTTATCTGTCTGCCTTTCACCCCTTCAGCGTTTCTGGACACTTGCAATTGAACTGCCGCTTCTCTCTCGAGCACTTTAGGCCACAAAGTCTAAAGAACTGCTGGTAACATGGATGTGTAGCATGGCCTTACACCTGCTTTTCAGATCACAAGATGACGTAAATGAATCTGGTCTTTCAGAAATGTGATTATGGTTGTCCCCTTGCAGGCATTGATAGTCCAGAGGACCTGTGTATTCTCTACTCCAACAGAGCAGCCTGTTACCTGAAGGAGGGAAACAGCACAGACTGCATACAGGACTGCAACAAGTACGTGACTAGTGTCGGTTTTATTACTGGTTATAACTTCCAGGTTTGAGAGATGAATCCACAGATCTGACATCACACCCCAAAACACTGTCAGATCACAGACTGTATTTAAAAGATGGCCAGAACCAGAACCGTTCTGGTGTCATGGTCGTAACCATCTTGTGGAGTGCTAAGTTTATGTGTGATTTTATTTGAGAGATAGCTGGTTTGAAAAGGCTCTGAATGCCACAAACAATTGTTGCCACTTTAATTTTCCCAAAGTGGCAACAATTACAGCCTGATTGGAACATCTACTCTTACCAGTACCAGCTTATAAAGAGAGAAACGCATAGATAGAGATTGGGCTAAAGAGATCAGCCAAGAAAACTTATGAATAACTTATTAAAGGGGGACTTTTTGTGCTTTTTTGTCTTATACTCACTATTTTAACAGAGTCAAAAGTGGGAGACACAGCAGGAACAAATCAGGGATAATGAGACAAGAGAATATGAATTAGATACAAAGCACAAAAGACAAAAGACCACCAAAAAGAAGCAGGAAATAAGATACCGACAAAGGCTCGAACATGTGAAGTTAACAGTGAAAGACAAGAGACAGAGACAAGACTGGAGGGACACAGTGGGATTAACAAAAGGGAACTAATAAACCTTAAGTCATCTACAAGCAAGCAAAGAACTATAGGGACAAATAAAAAAGCTCATATTAAATAAACCATTAACAGAAGACCGTGAAGAATACTGAACTAGAACAAAATCATTTCTCAAAACTAGAGGAAGTCATGAACCTGCAAAACTCAAAAGCTGACATTACCCAGTTGGGGACACGTGGGCTGTGTTTTATTTAAACTCAATATTATTTACATGAAAACTGAATGACAAGCTGCTTTTCCACAACCTGATTGTAACTGTTTTCTCTGTAACTGTGGAACACAGCATGTAGATCATCCACAGTGATGCAGTTTTGGATCCAGCAGCTTCCTGCTTTTTGTTTCTTTGCTCTAAAGGCTGCGACAGCCTGTCGGTCAAATATTCATTCACATGTTCAGATCCCTCGGTCTCCGCCTCTCCTCTCTGATCCTCTTAGGGCTTTGGAGCTGCAGCCCTATTCCTTGAAGCCTCTGTTGCGTCGAGCCATGGCCTATGAGTCACTGGAGCGCTACAGAAAGGCCTACGTGGATTATAAGACCGTCCTGCAGTTAGACACAGGGATACAGGCGGCTCACGACAGCATCCACAGGTCAGCTGAACACAAAAATCCAAACACGGGAAACTTCAGCCGCTTTATGTGCTGGTGCATGTTTAGACAGATTTTATGTAACACCAAGTCGTCTCAGTCATTTCAGTTTCCCTTTGGGTCCCTGCGCGAGTCTTGCTAATGCGAAACACTTTGCGATACTAGTTTCAGTCTCTTTGTTCTCTGACAGGCTCACAAAGATGCTGATTGAGCAGGATGGACCCGAGTGGAGACAGAAGCTTCCAGAGATTCCCGTCGTCCCCCTGTCTGTGCAGTTGCAACACCGAGAGAAACCAATCAGCATTGAGCAGGCCCAGGCCAGGGCCGCCAGAGCAGCCCAGGAGGAAGGTGAGGAACAACCATTCCTGTGGGTTTAAGTGGTTAAATGTGATGAGCACATCTGATGCAAACAAAGAAGCCTTTTAAAGAAATCCAGATTTTCTTGACTAAAGACAGTTCTTTGGGTGATTTCATTCACGTAGCATTTTTAAAAGAAACAGTAAATAATTGAACAATAAAGCAGCAGCAGAAGTCAGTGAGCAGAATCAGCGTGCAAATGCTGAGTAGTGGTGAAGGTGCTCCAGCTGAGAGCCTCTGTGTGTGTGTGTGTGTGTGTGTGTGTGTGTGTGTGTGTGTGTGTGTGTGTGTGTGTGTGTGTGTGTGTGTGTGTTTGTCTGGGTGTACTATCAATAATGCAAAGTAAAGACGATCCACACAGACTATAGTGCTGCTGTAATGGAACAATCCAGGTCAAGTTTCCTCTGCGCTCGAACTGCTCACAAGAACCAGGAGACTCCAAATGTGCCATAAATGCAAATATATGTAAATAGTTTTGGAGCAGTATAAGGCTGTAAAACTCACAACAACACTAACAGATAAATCTGTTTACTTGTACTTGTCTAATGAAAAACTCCAAACACACGATCTAACACATACAAAGCTGAATGAATATGAAGCCAGAAACAGAAGCAGACAGGAAGTGATCGAAGTTGTAAGTGTTAAAAGCAACATGTGTGCTGCTTAAATTTGTCACAGCGAATACGCAGCACTGTTAATCACTACCTCCTACAGTAATGCATTTTGTTCCATCTTACTGAGGAGGAATGACTCCATGCCAACAATAAGAAATGTAAGACAGCATCTTAAGTTATTATAAACTGTGGTAAAATAAAGTTGTGGCCAGAAGTTCACATCTGCTCATTATGAGCAAGAATGTGGTGCTAACTTTGAGGTTTTAATGAGTTCTTTGAACGTTTCTTTTTCCAGGGTGGAATGATTGTACTGCACACATCATAATGTCTTTAAAAGATAAGGATTGGGTGCACGAGTTTGAATTTATTTTGAATTTTCTCTGATCCAAACAAGGTCAGCAGTATATATACATACAGCCCCATTAATATGTGGTTACATGTCCTTTAGCAAGTTGCACCTTGACAAGATGTCTTTGGTAGCCATCAGCAAGCTTCTGGAATAATTCCGGGTAGATATTTGACTGATTGTAATGGCAGAAAACTTAATTTAAATTAGTTGGTTTTCTGGCTCAGAACCAGCTTTGACGTGTATTACACAAAGTTTCAGCGGGGTTGAAGTTTAATGTTAGCCTGCTTTATCCATTCATAATGGGAACGGGATCATTGTCCTGTCGGAACACGCAAATGTGTTTCAAACATCCAACTGTTGTGGTGAAGTTGAAGAATTTGGAGGTAGTCCTCCTTCTTCATTTTTCCATCCAACAATACCATTGGCAGCAAAACAGCCTCATAGCATGATGCTACCACCACCATGCTTGACAGCTAGTGCAGTCTTCTTAGGCTTGAAAGCCTCACCTTTACTCCTCCAAACATACTTCTTACCATTGAGGCCAAATAGTTTAATATTTGTCTCATCTGACCATTAAACTTTTCTCCAGAAGGAGTTTGCAAATTTGAAGGTGTCGATTTTGGAGCAGAGGCTTCTTTTGTGATCAGCACCATCTCAGTGTATGGTGTAAAACTGACTTCACTGTGGACAGTGATGCTGGTGTCCCAGTAGCTTCCAGTTCATGGCTTGAGCCTTGTTGGTTCCTGAACATTCAAATCAATTTCCTCTCATATGAGGGTGACAGTTTGGGTCTTCTTCCGGACATTAGCAAAGTTGTGACACATCTGAATAACTTGTACTTATGTAAAATTGGACTGATGATCTTAGAATCTGCAGTTGTTTGTGTACATCTACAATTCTCTAATACAACAAGTCAATCTGAGTGTCTCAAATGTTCAATTCATTCATTCATAAACTCACGTTTGTGTTGTTTCTGTCTTCATGTTGATTTCCCCAAAACAGGAAATAAAACCGCAAACACGCAACACAAAACAACACCAAACTGTGCTCCTTAATAAAAGAGTTAAAATGAATTAAAATTCTGACAATTATAATTTTATCCGTTAAAACAATTAGACTTAATGAAGCCTCGAGTTCATTAATATGTTAATATGCCTTTAATTGCAACAACACAAGTTAAATGAGCATTGCATTTATTAGTTGAGCTAGCGTTAGTGGCGATGATTAAAGCTACTGCTCTCTCGGCATTTGCAAACACAGCTGTGTTATCCGCCAGAGGAAATTACATATCTATTGATGCTTGGATTGAAAAGAATTAAACACAACCTCTACAGCAAGCTAGCATCAAAATAACCCTGTAATCAAAGATTGCACAAGCTTGTGTTATTATTCTCCCACAGCCCCGAAACCTCCTAACCTGCCACTACGCTTCAGCGCCGGTGCCAGCGCGTCTGTTTTGACTGTGTTATTGGTAATGTTATTAGATTGTATCTGTTAAATTATCTCCTTACAGCTTGACTCCCAGCTTGTATCAGCTTCAGAGGTGATTGATCTCAAATACTCATGCTCCACATATCAATTTAGTTTCCCAGCAACAGAGCACTGAGTGGTTTGTGGTATCGACGGACGTCTCAGCTAAAGGAAAAAAATAAGCTTTCAGTACCGAGCTGCTTCAGAAAGCATGCAGGCCTTTTCACTTTGTGCTTTGGTTCAATTGTAAATGGATGAAAGTAGAATTTTCTTGGTAGAGAAAAATGAAAAAGAGTTTCAAAACCTGGTTCAGGCTTTTTAATTCAGTTTTATAGTGCTTTGGGCCTGAATGCTTTCTAAAGTAACTCTGTCTGAACACTTTATTAGTTATACTTTGTTATTACTGGGTTGGACCTCCTGAACTGTTGATATAAGGTGGGATTGATTCAACGCTTTCATGTATTTTTGCCAAATTCTGACCCTGACATGTGAATGTTGCAGCAATAATCATTACTCATCAGACCAGACAGCATTTCTCCAGTCTGTCGTCCAATTTAGGTGAGCCAGTATGAACTGTAGCTTCAGTTTCCTGTTTTTAGCTGACAGGAGGTGCGCTCTTCTGTTTCTGAGGCCCGTCTGCTTCAGGTTCCTCATTTGTTGTGCATTTAGAGATGCTCGTCTGCATGACTTGGTTGAGACAAGTGGTTATCGGAGTTACTGTTCCCTTCCTTTCAGCCTGAAGCATTCTCCTCTGACTTCTGACATCAACAGGCATTATCTCCAGAGAACTTTGGCTCAGTAGATGTTTTCTCTGTTTTCTTTGACCATTGTCCAAAAACTCTAGAGATGTTTGTGGGGGGAAATCCCAGCTGGCCAACAGTTTCAGAAATACTCAGACAGAAAATCACTCACATCACCTTTGTTTTCTGTATCGAATCTTAATTTGAATTTCAGCAGGCCGTCTTGACCACATCTAAATACCTAAATGCACTGAGTTGCTGCCATGTGATTGGCTGATTAGATAATTTTGTTAAAGAGAAGTTGAACAGGTGTACCTAATCCAGAGGCTAGTGAGTGTATATTACTTTTAATGCCTGCTGAGCTCGTTTTTTCGAGAGTTGGCATTAGTAGCTGTGTCATTTGATTAATGTTATCTTTTTGTGTACCTGTGAGTCTGTGTTTATGTTTAAGTACCGCTGCGTGTGTCTTTCCCACAACTCATTAGCCGCATTGGCTTTTTCAGCACAGCCGATCGCTAACTAAGGAGTTGACTCATCTCCGCTGGTCCACAGAGACTGCTGCCGACAGGCTGGATTTATTAAGGCCTGAAACGGTGTGAAGAAATTGTAGAAGAGGCTTGTTGAAAGACAAACCATTCAGTACAGTCTGCCCCAGATCTGTCTAACCAATCAATAACTTGCACTGAAGAAAATGAACTCTTTATGAAGTTATCTTTTTCAGTTGGAAAAAATAAAACATTTTTCTGCCAACAGCCAGAAGAAAAGAAGCCCACTTCACTTTGCTTAAACAGGAAGGCAACAGTCTGGTCAAGAAAGGCCACTTCCAGGAGGCCCTGGAGAAGTACAGTGAATGTCTCGCCATAAAACCTGACGAATGTGCGCTCCACACAAACAGGTATGAAAAAACAACCCAAACAGACGCTAGAATTGACTGGTCTTTGCAACAAGAGCGCCTGAATTACTTTACAAAAGAAACACTGTTTGAAAGGTGGGTAGTTTGATCGCCACCCCCCCAAAAATAACAGAATAGCTGCCTACATCAAGTAAGAAGCTTCAGCTCAAATATTGTGTAAAAATCCGCTGAAATAATGCCAGTTTCTCTACTCTTGCAGCAAAGGCTTAAATGAGAGTCGTTCTTCACCTTCACATTCCCCCAGTTGCTCGTCAGTGTCACAAGTTTTCAATGAAATTGCATGTTTTGATCTTACTTTGTCAGCACAGAAAAATGGCCTCTCGCGGTAGGGAGCGATGCAGAGCTCAGAGCTAATTCTCCATTTACAGGTAGACAGGGGGAACAGTAGAGGGCACCATATGACCACCTGGCATGTCAAATCTGATGCACTGCCAGTTGTTGCTCTGGATAAAGCCCCATGAAGGTGTATCGGTATATTTGAAAGGAATTTCAGATGAAATATTGTGTTGCCTAAACTGCTGGACACATGTGGATTCCCTGTAAATATTACATCCTGCAAAAATCTCTTTATCAACAAGATATTGTGCGAAATGTTGGGGAAAATGCATCTGTCCCTACTCTTCTACGGTGCATATTTTGAAGATTTTTCATTTGTATTTGAAACAGTGTGGAGTAATCTAACCATGCGTAGCCTGATCCTCATACTGATCATCACTGACAGAGACCGTCTGACAAATCCTTTACTTCCCCTCCAGAGCCATCTGTCTCCTGAAACTGAATCGGTTCGAAGAGGCCCGGCAGGACTGCGATTCGGCGCTGCAGCTGGAGCCGAACAACAAGAAAGCCTTCTACAGACGAGCCCTGGCTTTTAAAGGTTTACAGGTGCCGGCACGCCCCCTCATAAACCTCTTTCTTGTCATTTTAAGATAATGCGTTGGATTTTTCTTCCCCCTCCCATTCCTGATTTCTCTGTATGAATGACTATCCTGTAGGACTACCTTTCAGCTAGCAGTGACCTCCAGGAAGTCCTCCGACTGGACCCAAACGTCCGGGAGGCGGAGCAGGAGCTCGAGGTGGTGACGGGCTTGCTGAGACAGAGCCTGATGGACAACACCGTGCACACACCAAGGGTAAAACAAGTTCATCATGTCGCCTTAAGCCCCTCAATTACTAGATTTAATTTTCATTGTAGTTGTCATTATGCAACACAAGGTTATAAAACTATACTGGAAGTTCAGTCCCTTTATGCAAGGAGGAGAGGTAGTGAAGGTGGGTGAGATTAAATACCTGGGGTGAACTGTCCAAAGCAAGGCTGCAGGCAGAGTGGAGCGGGTGGAGATGAGTGTCAGAGGAGGGTGTTTTGGGAGATTTAACCTTTTTAACTTGCTTTCTTATGCTTCTTTTCCTTTAAAGGTGATAGCGGCACATTTGCCTCTTTCATTTTACTTGTTAATAAAAACCTTTGCTTTATTCGTTTGCCTACTTGTCTCAGTTTTTCAATCTGGACATGCTTCGTTATTTTCCTCACATCCCTCGGACTGTTAGGGAACGTGACAAGGAGCAACAGCAAAAAGGGAGGTTTAGATGATTTGGAGACAGTGGCAATGGCAGGAAGTGGAGCTCGAGGTGATGATAAGCTATTCATTGCGAGTGACCACAATGAACAGGATTAGAAAGAGTAGAGTGCATCAGAGGGACAGCTCAGGCTGAGCGGGTTGGAGACAAAGTTTGAATGGTGAGGCTGAGATGTTTTGGACATCTCCAGAGGAGGGATAGTGGATATACTGGATAAAGGATGTTGAATATGGAGCTTTCAGGCAGGATGAAAAGAGAAAGACCACAAAGGAGGTTCAAGGATGTAGCGAAGCAGGACGTCCAGAGGGCTGGTAGGACAGAGGAGGATGCTAGAGACAGGGTGAGATGGAGGCAGGTGATCTGCTGTGGTGAACCCTGAAGGAAACAAACTAAAGAAGAAGAAGAGTGTGGAGGATGAATTTGTCGGTTTTGAAACCTGAAGAAAGAAACTGTTCTGCTGGTACGGCAGCTGATACTTGGTAAACAAGTATGGGATGCTTTAATCACTGTAGTTGACAAGCCTCCAGGTCTGGATCCAGACATATCCCATATGTGTTTGTAACGTCTCCAATTAGTTAGGAACATGGCTTTACCACTTTATTATCTCCAGATAAGGCTTCAAGTATGTTACAAACTATTAAGACAAACAAAACCTCATAGAAAAGGCTAACCTTTGATGATTTCCTGCAGGTTTGATGTCTCCTGCTGGTTCACATGTGGAGACAGGTGTGGACACTTACCATACTGCTGCAGGACTTTTAAAGCAATCGGCTACAGCAAGTAAGCAGCGTAGAAATGCAAATGACTATTTTTGAACTCCTGGGACGAGAACCGTGGACGACCAGCTTTTCAGCTCTGCTTCATCTGCAATGTGTGCGAACCACACGTAACTCCTGAGTACACAAGCTTACATAACGGTAAGCTTTATTTAAAGAGGCTAATGTCAAGGTACTTGTGACCCGCTCGCACTATAAATCATTCACGTTATGATGTAATGTCCAGTTTCATGTAACAGGCTCCAGAGCACTCTTACTTGTTAAAGAGTGTTGAGAGGGGGGAAAGAGAGTGCGTATCAAGCGTGCCTTACTGAGATTTTTACCACAGTTAGGATGAAATGCGCCAAGATTAAATGTTTAATTTTGATTGCGTTTTTTTAAATCTGCTTTGAAAGGAATGGATCAGTGCAGTGCAGGCAGTGTGTGTTTGTGTGTTGCACAGCAAGATATGAAAGCTTCAGCTATTTTATTCCAAAGCGTTTGTTATTGTTTACATGTAGTGTGATAAGAGCTGCTATTAATTTAAACAAGAAGCCAACAACATCACATAAACTATCATCACTATTAGTGTTGGGAAGTGCCCTAAAAGGCACTAACGTGAATTTAAGCTTCACCGGTTAGATTAGCTAAAAAAAAAAAGTCTGAGGTCAGCACTTTAGAGTGGACCCATGATGCTTTCTTTATTTCATGCCTGATAAATGCTGCTGGAATTTCATATTACCACTGTTTCAAAAAATTACATCATCTTTTATAAAGTAATCATTGTGTTGTGTTTAACACTAGCGCTGAGCTGATGTCAGCTCGGAATACCCTTCCTTATATGGTCAATCAGCTCTAGCTATGCCTGAATAAGGAGGCGGAGCTAACAAGCACTGGGTTCTGTTTAGAAGCAAGTCGAAGGGCAGCCAATCAGAATTTGGGCTTATAGTGAGGGGGAGGGGGGGCCTTAAAGAAACAGAAACTAAAAAGACTTGTTTCAGACAGACGATAAAAGACCAATAAGATACATAACGGTCACTTAACTGCAAATCAAATAAAGTTGAATAAAAATTTTGAGTGAGTGGGACATGAACTAAAAGTCCCTTTTAAGCGACTTTTAGTTCACGTACCTCTCTGGGTTTAAATATTGCCCTGCTTAGGTTAGTGTTACAGTTTACAGAACAATGCACTGTACTGTAGCTCAGTAATTAATGTAATTAATGACTGTTTTGTTTTTGTGTAGGTATATAGTAGTTAAATTAAAGCTAATGTCCGCATGTCTGTGCCCTTATTGCTGCAACAAGACCCCCGATAAGGCTCTGATTAAACACCCAGATATATTTATCAAAAACTGTCATATTACAAGAAAATTATTTATTACAGTGATACAAATGTACTTTATTTAAGTAAAAACATCAATAACTCGTTTGACTTGGGAGCCTAGCCTATAAGAGAAAGCAGCAATGATTGCAAATTGAAAGCTTGTTTCCACCAATTTTGGGGGGGAGGGGGGGGAGAAGCTCTGAATAAAAACAAAAAAAAAGCTTCATTTATATCTCAATTATTTACCTGTTATCTCACCCCCCTCCTCAGTTTCAAGTAATTAATTGAGTTAATAGGACTTAAACCAAAATTTTGACTAATGTACCATAAATTTTCTTTGGCAGAAAAGGCTTCCATGGAAAGTCATTTTTCAGCTTCCACCCTCAGGCTTGTCATTCTCCCACATTTCAGCCTGCGTTTGTGTGCAGGCTGAAATGTACTTTTACACACGTTTGAAAAGGACAAATTAGATGCTTACCAAGCTTTGCAAACATAATTTATCACCTCTGTCAACTCTCCACAGGAGCAGAAGCTTTTGAAATCACCCACATCCGCTATGTATTTCTTTAAAATGTAGCAAACTGTGCCACAGTTTATTTTGCAAGTATAAAAATATTAGGTTAGTTTTTTCCAGTCTTGTTTTCCTTTGTGTTGTAAAAATAAAAGGCTTATCTTAAAAAAAAAAAAAATCTTGATGTAAAGCTTCATTCATGAATGTAAAAGCATGTACTGTATGTAAATAGACTGAATGCAAATGTAAATAAACTGCTACAAGAATGCATTAATGTGCCTTTGTGTTTTTTCAAATGGAAACACGAATAAATGAACACAAAACGATCACAGCAAGCTTGATTGTGAAGTTTATTAAACGATATGCATTTGCATGCACATTATAAAGCAAATAATTAGGTAATACATACTTTTTAAAATATCATAAGCTTATCTGACCCAATTAGAAAACACACCTGCCACTCGTCTCCAAATAATAAAACCTCGGAGGATCTATTTGACTCTGAAGTTGTATCATTTTCAGCAGCAGGTAGGTTACAAAACGGAGGGAATAACCTGCAGCTAGAGGCTTGTGAGGTTTACCAAAACATTTTATTTATTTATTTATTTTTAGCAGATAGCCAGCTCACCACGAGCTGCCTGACGTCACAGAGGAGCAATCTGTGGTCGGGCTGAAAATGTGCTCCAGCTGCTGAAAGCTACCGTAGCCTGTAGTGTCACTGTGCTCACGATACTCATGATGCCGACTGCTTTGGATTAAAGGGATCTTATTGCCAACTTGTGCATGACATAAACTTTAAAAACTTTGGCTACTTCAGGGGAATATTAAAAACAAATAATCCTAACAACGATTTCAATTCAGATAAACATTTTGGTTGTGAGTACTGGGTTTAATCCAATATTTTATTGCTCTGATTTTCAATTTCTACGCACTAAAGTAGATTGCTTAAAAAATTATTCTGTCACTGTTGACGTGTCCACTGCAGCGGCCTGAGAGCGGCTCTTTGGTAGTTAACACCAGCTACTGCGACAGTCCGCATTAGCATTCTGGGAATGGTGTTTATCAAGTTTTGGTGCATTTTATGTGGCAAATATAATAACTATCAAATTGTTTTTACATTTATCATTTGATGAAACACACAGAGAACAAAAACAAAACACAATAAAACCCCTCCCCCTCCCCCGAAAGGCACTGTAGGTTCAATAATTATAAAATTATCTGCATTAATCATTTGCAAGGTCTTCAGAAACATCACAAGAACATGTTGTAGTTAAAATACACCCAAAGCTCTGAATAAAAAATAGCTTTTTGATTTATATGAGGGGAAAACAATTTAACATTACTACTGTACATTCGCTACTGAATACTGATTAAGATTTATGTGCTCGGATAAACTTCTGACTGCAACTTGCTGCGGTGTGCCTGACACGCTTGTTCTTACTGCGTGGGTACTTCTAGTAGTTCTAGTTTTAAAACAAGTCTGAAATGCTTGTTGAAATGTTGGGATCTGCTTTGTTTTGTTTACAAGGAACAGCTTAAAAATCCCTTTTCTTAAATACACCGCACGATTCAATTCAAAGCTTGCAGTGAAGGTTTTTATATCTGCACAGGTGCAACCAAAACAACAACAAATAAAAAAGGAGAGATGAAGGGATGAGTATTTGAGTATTTCTGATATCACAGTTCCCACCCGCTTATAATAAACAGTTGGACCCAACACAGGGCTTCAACATTAAAACCAACTTTCCCAAAATGGAAAATAAAATAAGCAAACACATGACAGGAATCACGTTTTAAACAAAAAGCAAAGATAATATTTTTCTTATATATGATTGCAGACCATAAAATCTGCGGGTGAATAGCTGGTCCCTCTAAAGTGTAAATACTTGGCAGACGCCTCCACGCTCCTCTCCGACTCCTCTCCGGCGTTTCTCGCTGCCATTTAAAGAATTCACAGAAAGAGCTGGTGGTGGACCACAGCGGGGACACATCCCTCTGGTTTTTGCTCGTTTTTTTTTCTTCTTTTTTGCTAATGTGCTCAAGGAGAAGTTGGTGTGGATTTTTTTCTTTATAGCAGCTCAGTTTTGTCAAGACATTTTATTTGCTCTTATCCGGCTTTTTCAGTTCTGCTTCTTTTCTTTTTTGGGGAGGGAAAGGGTCAAATCTGGTTTGTGGGATTTGGAAAACCCACCAGGACTGAAAAGAGTTTGCAGATCATCATGAAAGCTGGACCTTCTGCACCACCTGATAACTTGCTTTACACACCTGTCCCCGTACAGGCAACTCTACTTACTATAGGCCTTGAAGCACCGCTGGGTGCTTTAACATCTCGCTTAGATGTCACACATCTGGTCATGTTCTTGTTGCTCCTGAAATCCATCCCTCTCTCTCCATCTCTGACTTAAACCTCAACCCTGACATTCAGATATTTCTAAAAAAATATATATATATATATATATAATTCATTTATAGCCTTAATCTTGATCACCAGCTTCCCAAGATGCATGGAGGGTAGGGACGGTGCCTGCGTTTAACAGTGGCACTGGGTGATAAGGCTAACTGAGCTTCCTGTGTTTGTGCAGTATCATGCCTGAAGAGCTCCTTTAGATGTCCGTTTGTATACAGCGTTTTCTCGTTTGGTTTACAGGCTGCACAGCGCTGCAAATGGTCTCCTTCAAGCTCTCATCCTTCTCTGGCTCTGTGTCACCAACACTCTCCTCGCTGATGTACAGAAACGTCCCGCTACTTCCCTCTTTTGGCGAAGCAGGTGGAGATGAAGACAGCAGGCGGCAGGTGAAGGCTGAGTGGCTAATCTGAGGCGGGAAGTGCTCAAGGCGGTCGTGTTCCACCTCTGGCATGGGCGTGATGGTGACGTCACTGAAGGCGCTGATGGGATTATGAGGGTGGGCGTCCATCGGGGGAGAGCAGGGTGCAGGAGCCGGTCTCGAGGTCTCGGGGTCTGAGCAGCTGAGCTCAGATGAGAAGTGGCTACAGTGCGACTCAGCCACAGAAGGAAGGCTGCCGCTCAGGGACGGAGAATCGAACTCTGAGGAATTAGTGCTGCGCTGCTCCAGAAGCTGAGTGTCCATGTCTGTTTGGATCTCGTTAACTTTTGCCTCTCCTTTGCTGATGCTGCTGGCTTTTTTCCAACGCTTGCCCTTGCTCGTTTTGACCCCAGAGGTGGAGGCATCCTTTGACCACGCCGGGCAGGGGCAGGAGTGGTTGGCTTGCTGAGCACAGCGACAGGTGGAGGGACACAAGCACGTAGCTCCTTTCAGGCCAGCAGAGCTGCTACTACAGCTGGCTTCATCCAGGCTGCTGCTGGCGCTTCCGTGTCTCACCTTCTCCTGCTTAGACTCCACGTCTGCCTGCACCTCCAGACTGTTGTCTCTGCAAAATCAAATCACCTACATTTAACTTATTGGATCATAGGGCAGCTGCCTACAAGTCTAACAAATCTAGGTCACCAAATTCCTACTGGAACAAGGAGGATGTGTATAATCTGAGTGCTGACCTTTCCAGAGACATGTAGGCGTTGAGGATGGACCCCGCCATGGCTTTTGTGCTTGCGTTGTCGCTCATCGTCCCCAGACTGACTGTGGCAGACTCCCCACTAAGGCTGCAGCGTTCCTTCTGGACGTCGGCCTGGACTTCCATCCTGGAAAAGTAAAAGCAGTCAAAACAACTAGAAAGTCCAGTTGACAAGTGAACAACAAGCCCATCGATGTAGTTTCAGTCCTAAAACATTTAACACTGATAAAATGGTCTAAGGAGCTTGGAAAGCTCTAAGCTACACAGACACTGATAACATTGTGCGACTGCACCATTTGCCACTCACATAGAAATGCAAAATTTCTACGATGAAGAGAAAATAATACAAAGAAAAGAAAAAAAAAAGACTAACATGCTTTTTTCTTTTAAGTGATGAAAGTAAAGAATGACGTCTCATAGCTTTTATTTTGAGTGCACTGCTGAGTTAAAGAAAGGAGTTAAGGAAATTTAGGCAGTTAAGGGTTAATTTTAATTCATCTGTCTGTTTTCTTAACCCCTTATATTCAATTTAGGGTCACGAGAAGGGGAGCTGAACCCTATCACAGCTTTCATCAGCTGTCAGCGAGAAGTGGAGTCCATTAACAGGGCCAACAGACACCCATTCACAAGTACGACCAATTTAGAATAGCTATTGGATTTTCCCTCAGACAGTGTTCTGTTTGGGCTCATCTGGGCGTGCTTATCACACAATCAGTCCAGTCCATTTACCGGTTGTAGCAGCTGCCCGAGAGGCTTCCGGTGATGCTGGTCCCAGCGAGGGCTGTGGTGCTGGCATTGTCACTCATGTTATCCCGCTGGGTGGAACTTACGCCGCAGCGCTCCATGTTGCTTCCGCTCACACTGAGGCTCAGGCCCGTCAGACCACCAACACTCGCACCATCGCCGAGGCTGGCGTTGTTGAGGCGAGTCTCCGCTACTGAGGTTGTGTCTGACCGGAGAAAAGGGGGACACAGTGTGAGCTTTTATTAGGCTACAGAATAGTTTGATGGACAAAACTAAAGCAACAATGTGGCTTTCTGATATAGTATTACTGTATCCTGTGACTATAAATGCCCAAAGAAGTGAAACTACTACAAATGGAGCATAATCAGTAACGTCAAAGTGGACACACATAAGTAATAAACTCAGGAGTGAACTTGGTATGACTTTACCATGCATCCTGGAACAACAAATCATAAAATTCTCATTGGAATCAAAAGGACATCATCACGTCTCACACCTTATGTTTCTGAAAAGGTCAAAGTCTTCGCTGTCATCTGTACTAATAATTATGATTTTCATTGATGACAGAAGCTGCGAGAAAACAACACGTCTCGCCGTCACGCAGAGCCCCAAGTTCATCACAATTGCTGATATCGTGCCAGTCATTTCACACAGTCACACGCCCTGAATACTTTTCTGCATCTTCCATCAACAGCCCTTTGAGTAATGAATGTCATGCGCATAAAAACAAAGGCATGGCCAGATGTAAGAGTAATGACTGGTATGCATTCCTAACCGTGAGAACAAACTCATACAGTAATCTTTTCTATCAACCCTGCTAAATATTTAACCTGAAAATTGACCTAAGCTAAATGCAGAGCACCATGGTGCTTAAAACAACATTTTTAATTATTCATTAACGGATCATTATTGTCTGAACTGTGACTTTAAGTTCTTCCCATAGCCTGTGTACAGTATAAGACTCTCACCTGTGGCTGCAGCACCGTTGCCTATGTTGTCATTTTCATCGTCAAACTCAATTCGCACTCCTTTCCCATTGCCGGCAGAGACTCCACAACCTCCGCTCCGGCACAGGGAGATCGGGACAACACCGTAGACGTACGCAAGCATGATGGGAACGCCAATTCCTAAATAACACAACATGAACAAAAATTATTATGACTGACACTTAGGTAAGCAGATTAACTAAGAAAATACTGGTGGGCGAAACATGTTTAAACTCAGTGTGTTGGTACAAGCAAGGCACAATATCAAGGCACAGATGGTGAAACAAAACAAAAAGACATTTTTCCTCACCAACAGTGACCGCGGCAACCACAGGAGACACGATCACAGACAACGTCACGCCGCCAGCTATCACCAGGTTCCTCTTGTGTTTGGAGATGTCTTTGCCTTCATAGCGAGTATGAATCTGATGGAAATAATTGTTCAGTATGATTTAACTTCACACGCTTTGCAGTAAAGCCACAAATGACGAACACACACCTCCTTTTGTCCCCACATCTCAAGGCTGACATTTGACAAACTTGTTACAAGCAAGATACTGTACTAGGAACACAAAACTGGTACAAAAAAACAAAAAACAAAACAAAAAAAAACAGGCACAACACAACCTCTCTGTACTAATCTGCAAGATCTTCACCACTTCTCACTTCTCTGAATAAACACATTTTGTACCCCTGTTGCCTGCTGGGAGCTCTCACCTTTCTGCCCACATAGACAGGGATGCCAATGATCATTGCAGGGATGGCGATGCCAGCAATAAGGGCGATACCCACAGGAGCACCCACCAATGTGCCAAGCTGCCACAGGATCTTCTTCTTTCTGCTCCACGGCTTCTTCCCCCAGAAGGTGCAGCCCGATGGACTGGGAGGAGACAAGAGAGATAAAATAGTTTCACAGGGCTAAGACAAAGAGAGCTGTAAATATTAAGCTGTAAATATTAAAGGAAACCTAAAAAATAAGAAAAGCATAGGGCGGAGGAAGTCTTACCTTAAATAGTGCAGGTCAGAGATCTCCTTCATGCAAAGCCAACAGAACTCACAGCCGCAGACGGCGCAGGTCATGTGATTGCAGCTTCCATCGTTCATCTTGATGATGTAGGCTGCACAGCGAGGGCATGGTTTGATGTCATCACCTGGTGCAGAATAAAACAGACTGAATATTGTGCTTAAAATGATAAAGCTTCTGTGCACTGTGAATTTATCACAAGTGTCCTTTAATGTGTAATGCCAAAGAACAGGTCAGGTTAATCTGAGAGCTTTGTATGGTAGCACCTATCTGTGGGCTACCTGCAGCGCCGCTCTCCTGGCTGTAGCTGAGTGAGGACGACCTGAAACTCCTCAGCCGGAAGTGTTGGGCCCTTTGCTGCCGTGCGGTGTCGCACGTCTGGTTGGGATGCCACAGCTGTTTGCAGTGGTAGCAGAACTCTGTCCCGCAGCCCTCACGCCCGCAGGTGATCTTTGGGCAGCTGGCACATCCGAATGCAATGACTGCATAACTAAAAAGAGAAATGATGGTAAATAAAATTTGGTGAGACAGAATGGACTTGCCGCTACAGGTATAATCAAATCTGGAGGATGGCATATCACCATAGCAACCTACATCAGTCATCACAGTGGCTTATTAGAGGGCTTTTTTTGTGGCAAGAATGTTTCTTTTTATAAATGAGCACATAAAACTTGACAAAGTGACACCATAAAAGCCCGTTGCTGCAGCAGTCATTTATATCCCATCACAACTGCTGCTTTAAATAACCTGCCTTTATATCAGTGACAAGAATATTATGAATGGTAGTGACTGTTTCCCCCAAGCTTGCTGACTCAAAGCCCCCCTCGTGTCCCTCCAGGGGTGAGACATGGGGGATGGTTTCTGTGTTAGATACCGCAGCAGATATGACAGCTTCATTTAAACTCAGAGGCATTCAGGATCCTGCATGATGGTTATCACGGGGACGTGAGGAAAAGCAAAAACAGTGCGACAGCAAGCAGCTTGTAAGGAACTCTTAGTTGCTCCACTCAAACCCTGATCATCTTCCACATTTCTAAATTTGATTGTGTGAGGAGAACATGGAGGACAAGCCTCTTGCTCAGTTTAGGATGAATTCCCAAGAAAAAAAGACAAAAAAAAAAAAAACTCAAAGTAAACAGACGCTGCAGCACCGTCTGACGTACACAGCTGTGAGTCAAGATCTTTGTTAACATGAGATGAGCATTTAATCTAATATAGCCGTTAACATCAGCTGACAGCAAGGGAGCAACAGCAACTGCAGCTGGAAACTTAAAGAGGCACGCTATTTGGTGGGAATCAATGGGATTTATAAGTTAGCGAATGAAGCAAAATGATAAGTTTGGAAGACAAGTTAGTCATACTAAACCCTTAAGGCTAACCTTACAAAAGGTAGATTAGAGTTATCTTAAATGCAAAGTTATATAATTACATCTAACATTTCTTCAAGGTCAGTGGAGGAAGGAGGAAGTTAAAAAAGAAATACAAAAAAATAGAAGCAGTAGAGTAAATATATAAAACTATTCATCACAGGTCAAGTTTCTGATGAAAGAAATGAAAGTGAATGTAAGCATTAACAGATAAACTCTGTTATCCTCTTATTGACACATTTGACAAGCAGCAGTAGAGGCTGAATGTGAACATGTACTTAAACAAAACAGCCAGTCTGCACAGTTTCTAGACAGTCTACACTAACACCTCGGTGAGGTGAACCGATGGCACGTTGTAAAAAGTGGTAAAATATTGCCAAATGGCCTTTTGGTATTATCCCCGTCTTGTTTTCCTCACATACATTTTACTGTCAGACCATAATTCAACCAGTTTTAACTGGTAGTGTAACACCTACAGTGATATACTTGGGCTCTACTTTTAAAAGAAACCCCAAGTTTGCCCAAAATAGAAAAACTGTTTCGGTTATGCTTGCATGTAACTAAATAGGACACCATCCGAAACTGAGCAAAACTTCACTGCATAAAGATGATTCAGCTGTTTATTTAAGGAATAATGAGGACTCAAATTTGACAAACTTCACAGTTGAGCTGACCAACAGAGCCCAGTAATTTGCACAATTATACAACAATAAAGACTGAGAGCATTAACCAGCGAGGAGAGTGGCAGCAAGCCAGAGTTGAGCTGTTTGTAGCTGAGTTGCAACAAACTCATGAAAGAGCCATTATTCCAGCAGACAAGGGTCAGCACTGTTGATGCAAGACGATCATGAGAGTGAGTGAAGGGTGAAACCATTTCTGAAGCAGACAACAACAGAGCTGAACTGATCATGGCTGACTGGAGCAAAAATATAAAAAAACAAAGCAAAAAACAACAAAATAGTGCAGCCAGCACCTGGAGCAAAACCAAATACACACTGATGTAAGGGTACATTAGCAGTACACGTATGCTGTGTGCATGGAGGCAGTCACGGCCTAATGGTGCAATGAGAAGCAAGAGACATATGGAGGTCAGTTCAGGACCCTGTGAGCAAACTATTGAGTCCCTCCCGGCTCTAAACATACAAGACCCTGAACTGACCTTAACCCAGTACTGCCTCTGACATATAAGAGAGAGAGAAAAAAAGAAAGATTTCCAACTGCAAGAAACAGCAGTTTATTAACATTTTTAGGAGGTTTGCAGAGCTCATTTTTACCCCAAACCAGCAACTTGCAATACTTGCAAATTTTTTCCAACTTTAATAATTGAAATAGGGTTTTTGTTTTGTCTTTTTTCATTCAGCTTATAACTTGTTATTTTAGGTTAAATAACTTTTCGCCTTATTTTAAGATTATTATCACTGAAGGGTGTGTTATGCTTTCCTTTATTTTCTGTCACATGATGCTGAATGTTTATACTAAAACACCGCCATAATTTCAGATAATCTGGTCCACGTATATAAAAACCTTTATACTACTCAAAATGCTTGTTGTGTGGTGGGTCTTCTAGTCTGATGTCAGCTGATCATGAATTTCCTTATATGGTCATTTAAGGCACAGCTACACTGATGGGAGGCGGTGCTTAGAAGCACAAGGTTACAAGCTAGCCAAGTACAGCCAATCAGGAGAAAGAAGGACTTAATTGTACAGAAGCTAAAACGGCGTGTTATTGGCCAGTAGAGGACATACAGTGCACAGGCCAGTGAAGAACAAGTAAAATACACCTGATCCAACCATAAATTAGTTCATGTATTGTTCAGACTGTTATACATGCTCCTTCATTTGTGGCTATATACTGAATATTTGCTCATTTACAACCTATTTGCAGTCTGAACACAGCGGGCATCATCATAAACTGACTGCTCGCTGCTTTTGACTGACAGAATAAATGCGGCTATTATTGCTACGAGTTATTTTTAGCCGAGACATCAATGCAGAAGCTGGAGTAAACTTCACAGGGTCAGATTACAGTCTTGAAATTTCCTTGATCTTCTGCCTTAGTGTGTTATTTTAGGAGTTGGGCACTGGTTTAATCAAAGTTACAGAAGATCAGGCACATCTCAGGTAATTAAAACTAAGATTTTGGCCCATATGAATTTGCAGGTTTTTAAGGATAATATCACAGGCTTAAAATTTTGGAAGCTGTCTGAAATTTACACGTGCCTTGTTGTAATTAGTGCTGCAAATCTCAACTTTCCTTCCTACTCTTCAGTTACATTTGAATGTAAATCTAAAAGCCTTCATTTCCCAAGTTTTTGCCTTGGGTATCATGTTTGAACTACACCAACTAGTCCTGTGTGTTATTCACTCAGGGGGCCATCTAATCCCTCAGCTGTGGTTCTTACCCACAGTCAGGGGCTGGGCACCAGCGGCAGTCAGGTTCAGCCACCAGCCACCTCCTCAGCATGAACTCCTCGTACTTGTCCATGAGGGCTCGGTCTCCCAGGATCATCCTGATGTCGTGGGGGTTGAAGCGCTCAGCACACTCGGGGCAGCTGATGTTGACTCGGGACTCTGAGATCTCGATGCGCAGATACTGTCGCAAGCAGTCTGCGCAGGAGCGGTGGTGGCAGGTCATGATGTCTGGGAAGTGATCGCGTGCGTGGCGCAGTAGGCACAAAGGGCACTCCAGCAGCTCTGACGAAGACCCTGGCACTGAAGAAGTTGACGCTACATCTAATGGAGAGTTGGTTGCAGTTTTATCCTGCAAAGTCTCTACCTGTGCAGTTTCGAGGCTGACGACACCATCCACCCCAACTTCAGCTTGCAGAGCCTTCGCCTTGCGCTTGGGGTCACGTTCGGGCCGGCGTCGGCGCCCAAAGATTGCATGGAGAGAAAGACGGCGCTTCTTGGGAGTCTTTCTAACTGTGGGGAGGCTAACAGAGGAGCCAGCAGAGTGAAGATCTCGCTCTGAGCCTGTGCTGCCATGATGCTGCTGGTGCAGGCTGCTCATCACGCCAAACTGGGCGCCACTGGTGCTGTGACCAGCAATTACCACATTGGGATCGGGGATTAGAGATGGTATGGAGAAGGAAGACGGAAAGAGGGACTAGGGTTTAAGGAAGATGCTCAGGAAATAGACTGCTATCTAGGACATGGTGGCAGAAACCTGATTTAGGAGGTGTGCAGGTGTGTGAGATGATCTGCCCTTGTTTTAAGTCACACCAGTTTAAGGGGTTCCTTTATGGCCAAGATGAACAAGTTCAGATGTAGGCCACAAACCTGAGGAAAAAAGAGAGAGAGGAAAATATCAGGTGCTGTGCTGAAGTCAAATGCATTAATTTTTAATTATCTGCTGCAAAAACAGAACCACTTGGCTGCAAAACGAGGCAACACTATTTCAAGATGCAAAACAACCATCCAACTAAAGAGAATCTTAAAAGCAAGACAGCCATCCGTGAGGCTGTTCACTGGCCTCTGTGTTAAAACGTAACCACTTCTTTGACGTTTAAGAGTTTTCTGGCAGACTGCAGGCATTTTCTCAGGCGTGTCTTCTGTGCCTCTGAGTGTGTGCATGCTATTATTCTCACATAGCTGCATGCTTTCCCTCGAGTGTGTATTAGTCAAGTGTAGGCAAAAACAAGACAAATCCTGCGTTTCCACCATAGATCTCAAAAGCAGCCACAGCTGTGCCTGTAGTTCTCTGCAGCCTCACCTAGCCTTAAGTACTTTCACTGCTTGTTTGCACAACTTAAGCATAGCTCTTCACCTGTAAAAGCAGCGTGAAAACGCACTTGTGGTGGATGTGAAGGGTTTAAGGGTCAAAATAACAGGCATAACAGAGGAGAGTCTTAAATTTCATTGACTAATCCAATCTAGCAAATGAGATCAAAAATGCTTCATGAAGTTCTTTTAATCCTAACCACCTTCCACCTGACCTGGCCTATTTTTATCCAATCCATCCAACACAAAATTTACCATGATTGTTTTGCTTTCAGCAAAATATGCACGCTCTTCTAAACACAATTTTGTTTCCACACCTTTATCTTCTCGCAGTATTTAAAAAAAAAATACATGAATAAATAAATAAATAAACAGAATCACAGAAATCAACGCTTTCCAAGTTTGCCCTCACTTGACATGTCCTATATAACTGTGCTCATGTTTGTATCATGAATTGCAAAGTATTTTAAAAACCCTAAAGCAATATAATGGACAAAAGGGATTTCTACTGGCTGCTGCAGGCTGCAAACTTGTGTTTGCCATTAGGGACTAATTTCAGGAAAATTCCAGCGGGAGCCAAAAGGTGACTAATTAACAAGCCTGTTGCAAATCTAAACTGGGACAAAGCAACCATATGCACTCTCGTAACCTACAAACCTCAGTCTGACTGGCTGCTGTTTTTCCACCTTTAAGTACCATGGCATGTAGGCCGAAGTCAGCATCAACTACTTTAATGTTGGGGAAGGCTAAAAAGAAAAAAGTCTTTAGTTGCAGAGCCTGAAACCAGATTCAGTTCGGCACCTAATAATAACATACACTCAACTAAATTAATGTAACATTTTAACACTTTCAGTGAATCTGGTTAGTGGTTTGATCACGAGCTTGAAGCATTTTAAAAAGGCCATTAAAAGATTATAATTGCAATAAAATTCAGAAATGCGGTCTTTCAGGTGCTCACACTCAGCTCTGACTGACAACACCCAATAAAACCTGCAAACATCCAAAAAAAAAAAAAAAGATGCTTGGATCAAATGACTCTTGATCCCAAACTGCCATTTTTATCTCCCAGTTTAGCAGCAGGCAGGTTCAGCTTTTGATGCTGACTGAAACTAAATTCGGCTGACTTTTTGCACATCTGCAAGCTCTAAATACAGCCAGTAGTCTGCAGACAGTGTCACGGCATAAGAGTCCCATCTCTTCAGAGACAAAATATCCTGAAACGCACGTATGAACATGACAGATGTATGCGATACACTGGCAAACGCACATCTGACAACACATAATGTATTAAACCAGATGCAGGACTGTATCTGTATTACTGTTGGGACAAAACTGATAAGTACCTACCATTAGCATATGCCCTCATACCTAATGGCTACAATGCAAATGTTATTATAATATAAAAGACTTTAATTATGGTTAATAGCTGCCAGTTTTATTTACACAGCCCTTCACCTGCAGTTAGATGCTCCTTGCACATTCCCAGTTGTGTCATTAACATAGTGAATAATGTAAATAAGGATAACCCTTAGTGCATAAACGTTCATATATATTAATGATAAGCTGCTCCTTCTCACACACACAGCAAGGGGGAAGTTACTTTGATGTTTCCGTTGTTGGGAAGCTTTTACTGCATTACTGTAATATAAAGTGTTGCCATCAACTCAATGAATAGTATTTTATTTCACTTATCTCTTGGCAGCTCTACATATGTGTGTGTGCGTGTGTGTGTGTGTGCGTGTGTGTGTGCATGCGTGTGTGTTGAAGAGGAGAAACTATGACCGTAAATGACAGCAGTATGCCGCAGTCTAAAGACATAAAAATCTAACAGATAAACACCAATAAATATTTAACTTTTCATTGTTTTTATCTGAAGTCTGTTGCCATTTGTTAGTTTAATAAGTAGAGTTATATATGTTTATCTGATGTACAAGTTTATTTAGGGATGGGTATCGTTTAGGTTTTATCCGATACCGGTGCCAAATCGGTACTTTTGAAAC